TGTGAGAGCTCCAAAAAGGCGGCTCCGAGGCTCTCTAGTGCTGCGAGAGCACCAAATCGGCTGATTCGGCCTCATCCGGCCGCCAGTCGTTCTCAGCGATACTGGCGCCCCCCGGGGCCGCCGGTACGTCTAATTGTAGCCTATACCCGAACGCTGCGCGTGGTGGCTCGCGCGCGCGTCGGGTGATGGCGAGTCGCTCGTAGGAGTCCGTCGAAGACGGGTCCAGCTGCAAGACGCGGGAGGCGTGAATGCGACCGCTGTCGGGCCCGAGAGAGCAAACCAAGTGCATGGACGCCGCTCCCATATGCGCTCGACGGACGCCGCCACCGAAAGCCACGCGATTTCGTCGAACGCACTCCAGCGCACCGCGCCGAGCACTTCCGCGTTTACGGCCGACGAGCCGCTCGCGACCAAAACATCGTGCGCCGAGCAATTCGACGCGCGCAAAGGCCCTGGACCGCCGCGCGCATATACTACGCGGGCCCCCGCAGCTCGTGGTCGAACGGGAACGCGATCGCGGGCCGCAAGAACCGATGCGATCACCGATCGACGCTTTGGAGCCGAAAAGTTGACCGCGCGCGTCGCGTTCACCGGCTCCACGAGCGCCCAAAAGCTGCCAGAGGACGTCTAAGGTTGTCCGCCGGTGGCGACAACAGCGGCCGCCCCGTAGACTACGAATGCGCGGCGCACGACGCCGTCCAAGGCGGGTTTTGCTCTCTGAGAGCCCGAGTCTTGTTTGCCGGGGCGAAGCTGCAGTGATGGTGCCGCGAGAGTGCTGTCGGCTTCTTCTGTCCACTTCTCTCTCGTCCGCGGCGGCAGTGTCCCCTGCTCGCAGCGCCGCGCGCGATCCGCGCCGCCGCAGGTCTCGACAAACCACGTCCACCATGGCCCGCGGCGCGATCCCCGTCGACACCTCCTTCCCCGACATGCTCCTCTGGGCCGCGGCCGTCTTCGCCATCAAGATCACGCTCATGCACGCGCTCCAGGTGCGGTCGCGGCTCATGACGGGCGACAACAAGTCGTCGCGCCAGGCCCACTGGGTCGAGGACGAGTCCATCCCGGACGTCTTCCTCAAGGCCTTCCAGGTCATGTTCGTGACCTTCGCGGGCCCCGTCCTCGACATCAACCGCCTCGGCGGCGCGCAGCAGAACGCGGCGGAGAACGAGCTCTTCTTCCTCGCGCTCGGTTCGTTGCTCTCGGCCCACGGCTCCGTGCCGGCGAACGGCGCCGACATCGTCAAGTACTACGTCTACTCGCGCCTCGTCCACGCGGCGACGTTCGTCTTCAAGGCGCCGCAGCCCGCGCGCGCGCTCGCCTGGGCCTCGGGCATGGCCTGCATGATGTCCTCGCCGCCGC